AGGAAATCCACCAAGCCTTTTTTACCACTGCTTTTTTCACACAAAACCGCTTTACATGATTACAGAATCAAAGCACAGATAGAAACTAAGCTTTTTACCTGACAGGAATAAATACAAAGATTGATGACTTACCCAGCTCTAATTGGGTTTTATTTAAAAAAAAAATTGTTATGGTGTTAACGTGTGAATGCAATGAGTACTGCCTGACCTTTGGTTATAATAAAATTATTACAATGTATGAAAAGACACTGTGTTTGTTTGTGGAAGCCATGGTCTTGTTAGTGCTAGTCTTTCATTAGAAGTCAGGGCGTGTCCTCAGCTGCCCTCGGTGACTGATCCTGAAAGATCAAGTCAACCTTTTCTCTGTTTTGGACTTGCATTTGTAACCCATTGCTCACCGTAAACCTCCTTTATCTGTCTTACTGTCAGCACATGGAGAGGCTGTCCATGCTCGCCTTCCACCCAGTGAAGATGCAGAGCTCCTATGAGAAGGTGGAGCAGCTCAATCTGGAGGGGCTGCAGCAGAGGTTCGACGTTTCCAGCCCCTCTGTCTTCGTCAGCAGGGCTCAGATCCTGATGAGGGAGGTAAAGTGCTACAGCAGTTCTTTATGATATAATACAAATAATAGGTATGCACCAAAGCAGTGTCAGGATACCTGGAAACACGCCCCAGTTCCTAGTAAGACAGCACACACAAGCAACCTGTTCTGCCTGTGGTGAAGTCTCTACCTACACCTGCTGGATAAAAAGAGTATGACACTTTGTAAAGATGAACAGTGTGAGGTGACTAACTTATTATGAACAATGAATATGAATTAATAATATAATATTAATATTCTGACAGCAAATGGACAATGCAGTGTACACATTTGAGCAGCTGCTGCAGCAGTCTTTAGAGGCCCAGGGAGAGGAGGACATGTGCAAGAACATCCAGCGATGCCAGGACAGGGTTCTCAAGGTAAAAAAGTTTTTTCACTGTTCTAGCTACAGAACAAAAAATAATACTAGAAAACTGACTTTTAGGATCCTATATATAATATAGACATATATTTCAGTGACCTTCAGTGGTATCTAGACATGCAGATGATTTTATTTTGAGATATTGCCTTAACCCTAACACAGTCAGGTTAATACAATTGAGAAACCCATGTAAGGTTCATAAGTACAGACAGTGTCTGGATATACAGTATATTTTATATATTTTACTCCTAAAGGGAAGCTGAGGTCTCAGGAGAAGCAGAATGAAGTTGTGACTTGCTAAAGTAAAGATGATTTTTCCAATGAGTAGAGAAGTTATTACAAGTCACTGAGCTCTACATGTGTTTCTTTCCCTGTCAGAAAAATGATTATGACAGCAGCACAGTGCGCAAGAAGTTCTTCAGAGAGGCTCTGCTGCAGATCATCATCCCATACATGCTGCAGCAGCTCTCGCCAACATGCTCACCTGTGAGTAGCACCCAACATAGCCTCACATCACATTTCCCCAAAACTCATTTTATACCCTCTTTAAATTGCATGCATTACAGTATACCATATATCATAATGGCAATGGGAATCTTCCCATTTATTTAAAGGCGACTACTGAATTTTAGGCTTACCTTACTGATGCCTTTTAAGGTCAAAAATCTAAAGGCTTAGGTAAAAATTCCAATAGCAATAAGCAGCTTGCTATATAGCTTACAGGACACACTGAGCTCATCTCACACCAAACTGGTGCCAAAATGTACAAGATGAGGTATAGCTACTAATAACAGCAGTACAAGAAACATAAGAGAAACCCACAAGAAAGTGTTAAATTCGCAATTAATTTAATAGTAGACAACTAATCAATTAATCGTGGCAGCTCTACTGCTGTATCTGAATCAGTGGCTGACTCCTGCTAGCATGCAACCCCGGCCAGCTGATGAGTGTGACTTTTATTCAACCCTCCCTGAAAACACATGCAAGCATCAGCAAGGATGCATGCTAACTGAAGAAATCAGAAACATTAAATATCAATAAGTTGTCAAGAAATAGCATTGCCCGCTGGAAGCTTTGTGAAGTTCATATCTGTCCCCTCACCCAGGAGCTGCCTCGCTTCAAAGAGCTAATCTTTGAGGACTTCTCCCATTTCCTGCTGGTGGAAAACTTGTTCGAGGAGGTGGTGCTTCAGTCTGTCTCGAAGGACATAATGATGGGTGAGGGCCAAAAAAACACAAGATCAAGATGTTAAAGTTGCCATGGCAATACTAGTGGTTCATTATCTAACATTTGATTTTGTTATTTTCTTTCTTTGTCCAGCTGTGAAGGAAGCAGCTGTCCAGAGGAGACACAATCTGTACAGGGACAGCATCATTCTGACCAACAGCGACCCCAACCTGCACCTGCTCGGAGAAAACCCTTCAGTGGACTGGGCTACTAAATTTGGGGGCGATGAGCTGGAGGGCTCTATCAATGTTGGCGGTATTGATGGAGGGGGTTCTGGGAAAAGACGGAGGCAGGTGGTGTCCATGATCCAGCTGGACGGGGTGCCTCTGCCGTATGAGTCCTGCCTGGAGGTCCCAGGTGTGGAGCTTATCCCAGAGGAAGATGCCGAGATGTCTGAGGGCTTAGAGGAGGACATGGGCCTGCCTGAGGAGCCCAAGTCTCCTGACAGCGTGAATGAAATCCGAGACCTGATTAATCCCGTGGTGGAGATGGTGCTGCCCATGTCAGAGGAGAGTCAGAGCGACACGACCAACGGGACGGAGCCAACCACAGGTGTCATCACTATGGAGGACGGGGTGCAGGAGGCTGTGACACATGTCACCACCGTGGTGGACGATGTCCCCAGTAAATCTCCACGAGAGAAGTCGTCCCCACAGACAATTCTCCAGCAGCTGATAGGAAGCAAGAAGCAGGAAGCTGATAAGGTGGAGCACCAGCAGGAAGCGGCTATCAAGAACGCCATAGAGGAAATAGAGATAGCGGTGCAGGAAGATGACAGTGAACGGATTGCTGAGGTCTCTGCAGCCGATTCAGATTACGAGTCGTCACCAAAGCCGCCACTGGCTACAGACTCCAGCTCGCGTGGGGACAGTGGCTTCCAGTCCCCGACCAATGAGGGGCTGGATGAAGGTGAGCCTCAGCCAATCACAAACAGTCTGAACGGAGAGGATAAAATCATCGACCCAGTAGAAGTGGAAGTGCTTTTAGCGTAGGAAAGACAATCCTCTGAACATTACTCTGAAACTGGAGAAAACAGCAGAGTGTACATGTGCATCACATGTAATGGGAGAGAAGTTGAATAAGGATTGTATTTAAAGTTTTAATTCAAAGTGTTTGCTTTTTATTGTTATTGACATTACACACCAAAACCACTCTCATCCTCCCCTAGACTTTTTGTCTATGTCTTTGGTGATTGGTTTCTCTCTATGCATCTTAGTGAATCTCAATGCAAGTTTTCTTCATATTTTGTGTATGACACTGAGTTCAGTATATCTGATTTAAGTAAGGCTCCTTTACTGAATGCTATGCCAACAGACTGAGGGTCCAAGGATCAGGGATTTTAAAGTGATAAGCCACTTTTTTTAAACATACAGAATAAGGGAGGAACACAAAACAACTAGTTATTCATGTTTTCAAATGAGGCTAAACTTTTATTTACATCAGTAATGTAGGAAATAAGGCCTTTATTTTCCCTATATATCTCACATTTATACAGTCAGATTATATATACACATTGTGCCTTTAACTGTACTGCAGGTAAATGGATTTCTCTTTCATGATGACAGCCTCCACCTGGACAGCAGGGGGTGCTACAATCAACCTTTAGATGCTGTATACTTTTGAGTACTTTAACTGTTCTTTTGAAACACTATCTATTTTTGTACAGTCATTTTTTTAAACTATGAAGTCTGTTTACTTTAAAAAGCGTTTCCTGTATTCACAAAAGGCCTTTATGTTTCAAGACTAGATATTTCATGATTTTATGAATGATTTACATCTCCGCTGTGATTTGATAAGTACGATGTTTTACTCTTTTTGGCAACTGTGCAACCAAATAACCTAAATTAATTTGGGTTCATTCATCTTTGTCACTGTGGGTGTAGGATTCTGATGAACTTGTAATCAGAAGAAGCTCTCTTTGTGATTATGGAGATTGTTTTTAGCAACATTTTCTCTATTTAAAACCAATCTTTTTTTTATTTAATGCAGAATTTACAATCTAGTTGAAAAATGTTAAATTTATATAATTTGGAGGAAGTGGCTTTTACAAGTGTTATATCCCCTTATCTGTGTGTGTTTTGTAAATGCAGGTTTGATAAACTGTAAATATTATATTTTATCATAATATAGGGTTGTTTATAGTTTTTCCTAGAAAAATACCTGGAAAAAACTATTTAATTTGGTACCAAGTAAAGGGAAATTACAGTACGGTTTTACATACACGCTGAATTGTATGATTACCTGAAATAAGGAAAAACTCCCTCTTCCAGGATAGACAGACAGACTGTGGGGTTCTGGGGGTACAGAGTACAAAGAGGTAGCAGAAGTGGAATTAAAGAGAATATTCGTAAATAAACTACAAACATAATTTTACATCTGCATTTTTATTAGAATTAGTATCAAATGACACATACTCTGTAAGAACCTTCTTATAAATGTGCAGAAAATTCGGAATCTGTAAAATCAACGTAAGCACATTTTTCATTGTTAGCATCACACACTCTATGGGTGAATTACTTTCACTTTTGTACCACCTGTAGTCAACAGACCAAGCTGCAATCTAATGTTAAAGACTGAGAAGTTGTTGCAATCTCACGAGTCAGCGTCGTGTTGTGAAGTCATCCATTATTGTATTAAGTACATTTTGAGCTTTCTTTCTTTAGATTCATACCCTTTACTGCCAATGGAGGACCATTGACTGTATTCGTGTTTATTTATTACACAACCGGTTTGCTGTGAGCAGCTCCACTTGTCTTTTTAGTGCTTTTGTCTTCTTGACATATATAAAAATACAGATGAATAAAACCATTTCATCAACTTTAGTCTTTATATTTTATTCTTCCTTCGGAGATTTTTTATTATGACACAAACCCACCACTAAGAAAATCAATAAAGAACCCTAATGTGATCAGACATTTGAATGTTTCTATTATCAGAATGCATTTTAGAAATATAATAGAATATTTAAATAGAAAACACCAGAAATATCAGCTGCAAGGCACTCAAACTGGGGTTTTCGTTTTTAGGTTTCCATGACATTTCACTGTCCCCTGACTTCTGTGTGACAATGACTGACCGGTCAGTTAACCAAAATTACCCATGAGAGAAGTTTACAAGCTAAAATCACATGATTCAGTTCCTGAATCTGAGTAACGTCTTATGACCACTATAAATCAGTTCCAAGTGTGAGTCAGGTTTAAGGTTTCACTTCAACACAGCAAAAAAGAAAAACTGAATGTGTACTTAATACTTTATGTTGTTGGTTCCTATCACACTCTTAAGCACTCAAAAACAAAAATCTTTAGGATGAGTTTCATTTTAACCAACTGTAGTGTCATTAACACGTGCATTGTTTAGTAATGAACAGTAAATTGTGTAGTGGCTTTCCATTCGTAAAGGTTGACCAGAATTTTGTTTTACAGAAGCAACCATAATATGCCACAATTTATGGATTACTTCCCATCTGAGTATTGTTGTACATCTCTCAGTACTCTCTCCCCTGGAGACTAAAATCCACATGCATTACTCATTTAGATAGTTGCTGCTTGACACAATAACATAACGTCCCTTTACACACATCGTCCCGAAGGTTAAAGACAAGTGTTCTAACTTTATATGTCCACTTGAACGGTTTACAAGTTACCAACTGATTCCCGAGGCCAGAAATGGAGGAGACAGAAACTGGTGACAGATGATTTTGTGCATGAAGTTTTCCACATCCAGATGAGATTTAGGAGACAGTGTTGTGCAGCTCATTCTTTAGCATACAAAGAATTCCCCTTGTGTCCCTGCTCAGTGCTCAAATCTTCAAATACTAACTGTACCCAGAGAAACGGAACAATGTGCGTAAATTAGTCAATCGAGTAGTTTCCCCATTTAGTGTCCAGAGAGTGCGCAAGCCTTTTAACTCAAGGAAAGCAAAAGCCGTCCTCTGTCTGAACCATCAGATATGACCCAGGAGAGGGAAAGAGATGAAATAACCGAGGACCGAGCCCACGACGACCCCGAGGAAGATCCAGGTGTTGTAGGACATGACGCACAGCATCAGCATGTATCCCAGAGACACCTGCAGCATGTGGAGGAGTGTCTGGATACCATGCAGCAACAAGCTGAAGAGGAAAGAGGAATACACGAGTTACTCCGAGTACAATACATCCACCTGAGAGAATCATTAGCTTGGGTTCACTCATAATGACAGAATCGGTAACACTTTTAACCCCTTTAACAGAAAGGGAGGTTAATCATCAGTGTGAATGGGGGTGCTCAGATGCACATAAAAATCACAAAGAAAACCACACACACAGCTACAAGAGGAAGCCGCGGAATGATATAAAGCTCAGAAAATGACTGCAGTGGTGAAGCTTAACCCAAATGATCAACACTCAAACCACAAACTGGTTAAGCAGGGTCAAGAAAGCAGTAGAATGTAACTGCTTTTACTGTTTACCCATTTCCACCAGTGAA